TCGATTTTGAAAACAAAGTCTGAAAGAAGTCGAAATCAAAAATACAAAAAAAGGGAGAATACATGACGATATATGCACTATATCGTCACTACGTATTTTTGATAAATCAAACGGAGAAACAATAATAAATCCTCTTTATCGAGGAAGTTGGAGCGTCCGAAAGCTGACTTGATCGCCGATGTCGTTCGAAATTGATGCACTCTGGCTATGATAAAGTTGACTATTAATTCAACCTACTCGAGGGTAGGTTGGAAAGAGAAAGTGGAGTAAGTGGACAGAAGAGGAAGAGAGGTAGAAATAAGCCCCGTTAAGCCTATGAATGCTCGCCCAGCGCCGATAACAGAATTACTGGTGGAGGGCTGTTTACACCGAGGCTAGTGCAGCCGCGCCGAGGGCAGCTAATTGTTTTAACCGTCCGTACTTAACTACGCGGCTCAATAAGTCCTGGATTTACCTACGGAGGCCGTGACACAATCACGGTTTTAACGAACCGAGCGATAACACTCGACAATTTTGGGAATAAAAATTGGAAAATGTTTGAGAGCAAAAAAAAAAAAAAAAAAAATAAATTCAACTCTGAATTGACCTATTAAATAATTTACCTTAAATTAGATACAACTGCTAACGAAGAAGCTAATGAAAACTGAATAGGAATTAAGAATAGAATAATTTTATTTAAAAACGAACAAATTCTAAAAGTATCTTTCATCAATTATAGGATTAAGATTTATCTTAAATTCTACATATGACAGAAGATGTAACAGAAATTTGCATTTTTTCAAAAATTATTTTCAACAATTCAATTTTACCGATGAACATACCTTCTTCTTCATTTTTGCATCTCGAACTTCGAGCAAACGAATTAGTTGAATTAAACATAGAGAAAGAACGTTCTTCTTATTAAACAAATTTCACAAAGATGGTTCACAGGTTCAAATATCAAAATTATACCCTATATCGAAGTAGTTCGAGTTAAGTGGCAGCATTTAACGTTCATTAGAAACGGCTTAAAAGCGAAGATACTTTGAAGGAGTGGCAAGGAACCATCGATTCCTCAAAGCCAAAGTAGTAGCATAACTGTGAAACGAGGTCGAGGAATTGAACAAGAGGACGAGAAACGATAGCAATCTCGTACCTTCTTCATGATGGAAAATGCTAAGGGTAATAATAAGGTCGAAAGTGATTTAGCTTGGCAATTGTTGCCAGTGAGTACAAACGTTTTAATCACACGCTGCGATTCCTTTTTGCTTCTGAGTTTTCCCTTACTGCGTTTTCATGCGTCTTCAGAGAATATTATGGATAAAAGGACGATTCCTTTTGGGGAGGGAGAGGAGAAGAAAGATAGGAGGGACGAACGGGATTTAAATTCGACGTGGTGAACGGATGATTCTCCCACAGGAAAATGAAAAACCGTCGGTCGCGGTACTTGGTCTTCGCGGAAACGTTTGCGATTCTCGAAGGATCGAGACCGGTGAAATTCAAAGGAAAATCCCCGAGGGTGAGGGGGTACAAGTCCTCGCGTCGTTCCTGGCGAGCATTACCAACTTTCATTTCAAGTTCTTCTTCCAGAACTTTTAATTCTGGAAGTTCGACGATATTTAATGACGATATATAATTTTATATTCGGAGAAAAATTGAATCTCGAAAACTAGAAATATATAGATTATTATATAGGTTGATCGACAATGTTTAATCAAATATTTGCAACCGAATGTACGAAAAAGTTAATCTTGTCTTGAAACGAACGAAGCTTTCGAGCGTAAGTCAGAACAAGTTAGGTTATGTACAATCTTAAATATTGATTAATTAAATATAATATCTTAAATATTAAATATCATATGGGAAGAAGAATTTATAAGATATTTATAAGAATTTAAAATATTTATAAGAATTTATAAGAAGAATTTATAAGAATATTAAGAAGAATTAATTTTTCGTTTGTTCGTGTTGGGCTCTTCGAATTAAAATAATACGAGAAATAAACGAATTCGATATTCGAAAGTCGGACTCGGGGGTGAGTGGGGGAGAGTGTACTTATTGTTTGGAAAAATCGAAGGGTAATACTTTATGAGGTAAGGAACCAATGCACTCAATCCCCCCACCGACTGCTTACTCTTTTCTTCGGGTCTGTAGACTCTGAAAATCGGGTTTGCAATACAATGAGGTGCTTTCAAGGTAGCGTGCAATGTTGGCACTTGCCAACCGAAGGATAAAGTTTCCTCTGAATTTCCCGCACCGCCCCTGGCAGGAGACGAGTTTACGTGGATTTGCTCCAATCAGAGTTTGTTACGTACACACGCGGCACGTAGTTACCAATGAGAATAGCTATGACATTTTCCATGTTGCAGCGTACGTGCAATAACATGAATTAATATTTTACTTGGATTCTTTAAATATATTCTATATGATCTTGAAGAACTCAAATTGATATCTTTCGTTGCATTGATATTTTTAAAAATTCCGCAAGATTGCAAATTATGACGAAAAAGTTATTTATAAATAATTCAATTCAGGATAATTGGATGAAACAAGAGAGTGTACGACAGAATTGTATAAAATCTCGTATACGAATAAAGTTCAAAGATTTGTATCGAGCAAGGTAAAATTATTTGTCCTCGTAATATTTTTAACTCTTCTCTTTATTTTTTCATTGTTCTTTCTTTTTTTTTTTTTTGTTTAATCAAACGTTTTATCAGCGCAACGAAAAAGTTCGCTGTTTGCGAGAAGGAGAGAAGAGAAGAATTTTCTCAATTACGATACGAGAGAGATTCGAAATGCAAGCGACAGTTTCTTTGTCGAAGCTCGTTCTCGGTTGACAGCCGATGCTTGTAACACCGAACCGCACCAGTTTCCACAAAAGTAGTACGAACTTTTAATTAGGTGCACACTTTGACGCCGTGGCTTCGACGTAAAGGTATATCGAAGTGACCTGACCTCGGTGAAAGATCGATTCGTCGCCGTACAACGAGCTCTCGTTCCTTCGTTTGTCTGAATAGAATTTAGATGCGTGTCGGCCACGAATAATGCACAATTCTAACTTCTTCTTGCAAGCTATACAATATAGTATTGGCTATTTTCAATATTATGTTTAAAATACGTTTAAAGTATATAAGAAGAAAGAATTCTTATAAAGTACAATTTGTTAATTTTTATTTATATCCAACAAAAAAAAAATGAAATTCAATATTACAATAAGACTACACCTTATTACAATAAGGATTAATTTTAGAGAAATTTCGAGTAAGGATCAGTTGATTTGCAAGAAAGTTTCAATTTTCGTGAATTTTGCGTCCCTTGGTTGATGCTACCAGCCCCGGAACGTTTAATCGCTACGAAATTAGGATAACCTCCTGGTGCAGGGTCGTGATTAAGCCAAACCTCCAAACTCGGCCACCTATGATGTGGTCTTTCAAAGTAGATGTAAACGCAAGGTTGGAGAAAGATGTAACGGCGTCGTAGGAGAACAGAGGAGGACAGGAAGCATTTGCTAGACGGCTACCGTAATCAAAGATCCATCGTTGCGATATCGAAAGCCTTCAAAGTTGGAGCCACCCTCCTCGGCTTTCCATCGTCCGCTACCGATCTCAAAATCAAGAATTCGATCTCAAGTCGGGTCAAAAACAGTAGCCAAGTAAAAGTAAGCCAAGTATTGCGCGACGTTTAACTTTATATGCATTTCGATGCATTTCGACGCGACGGTGATTAAAACATTGGCAAACGTCGAAATATTATCTTTGGACAGGGAATTACACGGTATACGACCATATAAATGGTGGAATTATCGATTGAATCGAGCAAAGCTGTTCTCGGTGCTTGAGAATGTCCCTGTGATTTTAAATCCAAAATATAAAAGTTTGAATGGAAAATATTGAATGAAAAAGAAGCGGCAGGAAACACTGTTCGTGACGTTCACTGTTTGCCAAATAACCGATGGCAGTTTACAATTCCGCCGTATCGAACGCATTTTTATTTCTTCCATTGAATGGTGGGTTACGATCACCGGAAGTCTCGTGGCACGGTAACCAGATCCAATCTTCTCTTTTGACTTTTTCATTCATAGATTCTTGTACACCGATTACTCTGCCATTTGATTCGACTGTCATTCTCTGTAATTGCGTTTTCAAGACGAGATCGATACGCGTATCAACGACATCATTAATTCAAACGTGCAACACGAACGAGATGCACATTTCCCTGGTGCACGCGTTGAGAAAATTATGAAATGCCAAGTTGGAACAGGTTTTTTAATGATCGATATGAATAACACATTGAAATGTATTTTTCGATCTTTAATCTAATCTTCTTCTTTTTTTTGGATCGTTTAGAATTATACGATTAAAATATTTCGATGAAGTGTTTCATGTCAAAATCTAAATTTCATTTTTATAATATCAAATTCTTATAATCATGTAACAATAGAGATTACATCAGAGGATCAGAATGATTTAAAGATCACAAAATGTACTTGGATATAATTAATTAATATACATATATGCAAATAATTTTTGCATAATCGTTGTTTTTAAAAAAAAGAGAAACCTTTAGATACGTTTTTTCGTGAACATTTTGAAGGATGATATTTTTTTTAATGGGAATGGATTAGTAAATTTGCATTTTGATCAATATTAAGTATTACCTATCGTGTCTGTTAATTTTTAATTCTTGACCGTATATTTCCACTGATTAATCTATTATTATGAATATTCATATTGCTATTTACGGTTGATTCATATTTCAAGAGCTTTGATTAAATTTTCATGTATTAAATTTTCATTTAACGTATTATTTTTTTTTTTAACGATATAATCCATAATAAACGCGATCTCTTTTTTACAACAACTATCTTTCTTAATCGAGTCCAATAAAATATGTATCCACACATCGTATCAGATATCGATACGAACAACCTGATAACTGACCCTTTTTTTTAATTGTATTATCAGGGGAAGGGGAGAATAAATAACAAACAGGAGAAGGGGAGAGGAAAAAATTCGTTCAACTCGAGAATATTTTTATTGAACATTTAAAGCAATACATGTTGTTAAGTGTTTTCATAAACTTCGTTTCGATGGTATCGGGAGCTCGCACGGTTCGAACAATTATTATAGAATAACTTTGCTTTCGCGAGTTGCTCGCGTGATTACGGAATTTAATTAGCTGCACAGGTTGGTCCCAACGGATTTTAATATCTCACTCTGTGCTTCTCCTCGTTCTAATAATCCTTTCCCCCGCTATTTTCTTTTTCCCTCTTTTTTAAGAAAATAAGAAACTAAAGGCAAGAATTCGAAGGCAACCGGTCGATCGATACAGCGTTAAATTGGACGTAAAATTCGTTCGCGTACATATTTTTCCACGTACTCTTAAAATGTATAAAATTTTTTTCAGGAAACGGCAATTCTCTTTTACTTTCAATGAATCATCACAATTTTTTATTCTTCTCTTCTCCTCTCCTCTCTTCTCTTCTCTTCTCTTCTCTTCTCTTCTCTTCTCTTCTCTTCTCGCGAATATCCGTTGCGGACACTGTAAACGTTGAAACGATTTCAACGATTAATCGAACGATGCTGTGTTTCTCTCTCTCTCTCACTTTCTCTCTCCGTCTCTCTTTCTCCTCTACGCGTATCGAAGCACGCGTCTAACGAGCTTTTTTCAGAGATGATTTGAATTTGTACACGCGATACATAGGTGAATACGGCTTGACTTCTCCATCGCTGTCACCATCGTCTCCCGTGGGATCGTCCTTGTCCGGTTTCGAGGATCGATATATTTGACTTTTCTCGTATAACGGTACTGCTGCTGGAAGAAATATCGAGGTTAGGTTTCCTGTTACTGGTGGTAGTATTAGTTTGTAAATGGCGGGGTTTGTCGGGGATGAACCCAACAATGAATTAGTTTCATTTAAGTGACATTGGATTGAAATATTTGTTGAATAGAATTCTATATTGTTTGAATGGAAATATATCTATTTTGAAAATTAAATAGAGATAGATTTTTTTCGTTAAATATAAAGGGTAAAGAATTTTCTTTAAACTATAATCTTAACATCTTCTTCGTTAATTTAAATAATAGTTTATTTTTTTTTTTTATGATATTATTTATTTAATATGTCTTAAAATATAAGGATGATTCTTTAAAGATTTCACAATTCATAATTAATAATTATGCAAAGCGTTATAAAGTTCTCAAATAAAAATTTGTAATTAATTTTAAACGTTAAAAGGAAAACACGTTCTTCTCCTTTCTTTTCTTCCGCGCATAATAATATTTCCAAACAAATTTTACTAATACAAAATATAATTATTTGTAGTTCGATGCGCTGAACACAACAGTTCCAATAGAAATTTCACGGAGAAATTTTTAATTAAGCGGTGCAAAGTGGGAGCTTTCCGACTGTCCACGAATATTTACACTTCTCGAAAAGGAGAATAATGTAAACCGTGGACCTGTAGTTTCCCGCAAATACCTGTAATTAACACGTAGCAGGTGTGTACGTGTTATATATAGCGTGGCAGAGTGGATACGTACGAGACAAACTCGACCTCCCCCTCTCCACCCTCTCTGAGTTTTTCAACGGCTGCGTGTCGTCCGCGTATTCTTCCGTGGCCGTGGTACATTGGGGATGAAGCGAAAAATCCTCCGTCACGTCCGTCGTTTTTTGCGGGGTCTCGTAATTTTGAAGCGGTACAGTGCCGACCACTATATTTGTTCGCAGTTTCAAGTTCTTCTGAAACATTCTGTAGTACCACTCGCTCACGTCTACGCAGGCCTCGACCTTTCGATGAAAAAGAGAAAGAAAGAAGGAAGAAAGGAAAGATATTCGTTTTACTATTGGCAGAAAGCGTGTGTATATATATATATATATATATATATATATATATATATTCAAGCTACGTTTAACGATCCGATTAATTTTAACGAGAATTCTTTTTACTTCGTCCAATTCGTTGAGATCTTATGTCTCGTGGAAAGTGACAATGGTCGTTTAACGTTTTTTGTTAACGAGGGGCCGCGTAACCAAATGTAAAAAATATATATATATATATGTTACACGATTTTTAATCATATCTATGAATAATTGGGACGATAATTTAAGTGGCATGACTCGATTAATTAATTATTGAGAGAATAAGAGAATAATATGAAAAGGTTGGATTTAAATTAGGAATTAATAACAGATATTAGATTGTTCCAAAAATTCTTTTATTAAATCTTTTGCAAAATTTATATTCAATTTATCTAGTCAGATTAATATTCTAGATAGAATATTATATTATATTCCAAGATAGAATGGGGATCTGAGTATAGATACAAGTATAATCAATCCAGAAATCATTGATCTGGAATGTGGAAAAATCGAGAAGAGCAAAGAAGTGAAAAAAAGGGAAAAAGAATTTTTGAGACAATTCTTATATAATTTGTTACTTTCTCTCGGCGACACAAAATAGCAATTAATATGTAAATTAGATTCCCGGAGAAGTTGCAATATCGGTTGATTCCGATTTTATCGTGGTAAATACGAGGCGGTCTCACTTTAAGCGTGTACAGAACGTCGATGATGTTGCAGTGGATCATCCCGGTAGGTGGTACTGCAGGAACGTCAAACGTGACGTCGTACGTATCGGAGTCTTTATTAACGGGCTGTTCTACTTCTACTATGATTTCTTTGTGCTTACGCGACTTTTCCGTCGAGTGATAAGACACCACCTATGAAAATATGCACCGTTTAGAACAACCTGATGCTGGGATGGATATCTAATAAAAGAAAATATATCACGGGCCATGACCCAGATAACTTTTACTGCAATGTACGCCGCGTCGAAATGTGCTGTTCTCAAGCAAAATTCTATCTACAGATAGATAAATTCCTGTGCATTTCTACAGCTGTTAATGTAATATACGTTACGACTACTTTTATTTATTTTACTACTGTAATATATATTTTTAAAAATATAGACTAAAGAAACGAAAAAGATTACGCGGCATACGATAAAAAAAAAAGAAAGAAAGCAAAAAAGAGCAAATTATATATTCATAATTTGTTTATATATGATTATAAGATACTTATGAGGAGACAGGGTTACTTTTTTAAAAACGATTCTAATTTTGGTAACCACAACTGTAGAGAGGTTCGTCATGAGTATCGTGATCGGTATAGCTTGGCCAGGGACGTAACCTCGAACCGGAAGAGACATGGACACGGTGAGGGATTCTGTTTGGCCGATGTACATCTTCGATTGTTTGATATTTATAGGCAACTGAAAAGATCGTTTCACATTGTTCTCGTTATCATTTAAATATCGATTGCAGTTCAATCTTTGCGCAATTTAATCAAATTATTATTACTAGAATAAATTAAAGACTTTTCATTTTTTTCTTTTTCAATGAGATTTCGTGGAAAGAAATTTTGTACGAAACAAATCGCGATAAAAAAAAAAGAAAAGAAAACAAAAGATCGAAGAATTTAGAAAGAAACAAAGTTGAGAAAGCGCAATGATCGAGCGTTTAATTCGAAAGAGCATTGGCATCCCACGAAATGAAATCACATCTCGAGGGTAATATCAGTGGTTGTTAGATTTCTACTCACGGGAGCGAGAGGATCTCGATTAAGGTCAAGAATAGGAGCCACCGTGAATGGAATAATATTGGTGGAAAACCGATAAATGGTCGTTACGTCCAACAATGCCCTAATCGAGTATCGTACTCGTCCGTATCGGCCCTCGAAGCTGCACGGCAACTTCTCTGGGAGCGTTAGGCTGAACGGGTAGACGCCTCCAGTTATCACAGATTTTTCTTTACCATCTACTCGTGACGAGAATCTGTTAGAATCCGACATCTCCCGTCTCGTGTATCTCGTTCTTCGCCTATCCGCTTGTCTTTTTACTTACCGCCGACAACATACGTTTCCACGTGGAGATAATTCTCGAACGCTGAAAACTTACGTCGAATGCCAGCTGATCGATCGGTGAAATACACTTGAGCCTCCCCCTTGCATTTTAGCCTAATTCCTGCGTGGAAAGGTGAAGGTGAAGGAGTGTTATGAAAAAAAAAAAATAAATAAATAGTTTATCTTCAACCCTCGTTGGCCAATCTGGGTCATTTGTGAAAGTTTCTTTTTGTTGAAAATTAAAATAAATAAATTTTTCAAAAACGCGTACAACGATCGTATAACTTCGAATACTTCGATAAGATACTTTCTTAGATCTTTCTTGTTCTTGAATAACGTTGAGAAAAGAAAGAAAAAAAGTAATGTAAATGACTCAGGTTGCCCGCGTAAAGTTAAAGTTATTCTACTAGTACAACTCCATTTATCCGAATCCGTTAAAAGGAGAAACAGTTTGTACAAATGGAGTTCATCAATATCTGATTTTTCGTTCGGATAACAGGAATTCGCGTTTAGAAATTCTATTGGCAGGAGTTTCGTTTAATTGGATATTAATTAAAACTTCGTTTTCGTGATATGATTTCTACTCGCACTAAGATATTCTATTCGAATACACATATATGCACAAGTATTTTCTATACAATGATATTTTTACGTTTCATTGAAATATCGATTATAATTCTTCAATACATCGATATATAATTTGTGGAATAGTTTATAATTTATATAAAATGTTTAAAAAATAATTTTTTGTTTAGAAAATGCCAGAACATATCTTACGCAACATGATGCAATATGTTATGCTAAGACCTAATCTAGATTGAATAGAAAAAAATTTAAGAATTACGATTAATTAAAAACAACGTATCTCTAATCTATTAATAAACTTTACCGGATATATATATAATTCTATCGTCTAATTGAAAAACGGAGATTCAAATAAAAAAATTTATTGAAATGTTGGACAAGTGTGAGGAGAAAAACAAGATCTAGATTTAGCAAGATTTCGAAAGGCTGAGATCTTAGTAAGCAAAGGGCACGTGCAAAACGCATGTACATATTTAACTAGCAACACCATATTAGACACTGTTTAACGATCCATCTAAACTTAGAAAAGGTTCACCTCGTGAATGTATACTCTACGTATAGCAAAGACTCTTTTCTCCGCTCTATCCATTCTAAAAGCGTTCCTGCAATACCAGAATCACGTGGTACATCGTCTCCGGTGACGCGTATTCAGCGTGGCAAAGTCTTTTAGGTCACCCGTTATGCAACTCGATCGATGGCACGTTTGGCACGCATTCGACTCCGGCAGAGAAGAAAATTTTTTTTGATTGCGAACAACACGGGTAAACATCACGAGAATAAATATCAAGTTGATCGTGCCTCGTTACAACCAGCCAATCGAATATCTTCCCTCCGCCTATCCATACTAACCCGTTTTCGACATATTTCCGAGATGGAAAAGAAAGTTTTCATCAAAACTAGAGAGAAAGAGAGAGAGAGAGAGGCTTGAAACTATATAACTCTTATAATAACTCTTATTCCGCGACACAAATTTATTTGCGACACATCATATTTTTCAAAGATTAATTGCGACGTCCTCTTCGAAAAAAAAGATATCTAAGAGATGTCTATCTACTTTCCGTTCACGAATATCTGATAAATTTTAACAGTTCGCAGTCTGACAAACAACGCTCGTCGAGAAACAACTTTCTCCGATATCCACCGTGGAGAAAGCTTGCCCCGAATCGTTTTGCTTTGATACTTTGAGCATCGTAGCTCAAGCTTGATCGAAATTCTCTTATTTTTCGAGGCGTTCTTTTAAAGGCGATAGTTCTTGATTAAATTCTGTTCCCCGTTCTTTTTTTTTTTTTTTTTTTTTTTTTTTTTTTAAATTGCCCTCGAGGACGAGGCTTACCTACCCAAAGCGTTGGTCGGCTCGTCCAGCTCCAAGTGGACGTTCCCCGAGATCCGATGTCCGCTGTAATAGACCTTTTGAGGATGATCGAGGACAATATCGATTCGCCGGAATCCGATACTACACCACAGAGATAGAGAAACAGATTCAGTATAACAGAACTCATTCCACTATGGTTAATTAATCTTTTTGTTCTACCTTTTGGAGAGAGTCTCGGCGATCGACCGATCGGTCTCAGTCTCCTCGTCCTCCATTCTCTGACACGTGCGTGTGTACAACCCCTTTCGACCCCTTTCTCAACTCATCAATCTTTTTTTCCTTTCTTTCTTTCTTTTTTTTTTTTTATTCAATATTCAAAGACACTTTCTCACTGTATCACAAATGTTCCCGTTCGCAAAAAAAAAAAAAAAAAAAGAAAAAAGGATTTTTCTCCTTAAAAAGAATCACTTTGGCCAATTGTTCATCGGATGGAATAACATTCCTCTTCGTGCTGTATATATACGCCGCGTGATGTACACCGATAAATCTTTCGATTAATGCCGACGTTAAACGTTTCCGGAACGAGATCTATATCGCGGCTGGAGCCCACACTGTCAACCTTCGATCGGTGGGGAAAAAAAAAAAGAAAAAGAAACGAAAGGCGCGGACGCGAGGAAGGTTGGACTAGGTAACCGGTTAAGGCAGCAGTGAGATGTTTGTTGACAAGATTCCAAAATTGCAGCAGGCGAGTCCTCGAACGGTGACGCATGCGTCTTTTGGCTCGCCAATATAACGGCGACATTCCGTCGCGTACTGCGAGAACAACCTTTGCTCTTTCGCCTCCTCTGGCCCGGATAATCGAAGGACTCTCATCGGTGTGGAAGCTCTTCCTCACAGGTAGATGCACGCCGCAGTGGCGTAACTCTGAATTAAGGGCGGGCCGCGTAATAGGGGCACCCGTATCGACCATTTTCAGGATCACCTGAGAATCGGGGTGACTTGCAGTGTTTAAATTCTGCCGCATCGCTGCCACTTTTCTGCCACATTGATGCGCCATTGCCGATCCCCACCTTGAAAATATCTTTGAGGGAGAGATTAATTCTTTCCAACTCTGAGTCGTGAACATCTCGTGATCTCTTTTGACAAATTTAGATGGATTAGGCTTTGTGAACGGGTATTATTTTTCTTTTCTTTCTTTTCTCTCTATATTAAGTGTACATATACACTTAATTCTTTAATGATTAAAAAATTTTGGATTAATAAAAAAAGAAAAAAAGAATCAACGTTTGGGGATTTTAAACGGGTCATATATGCATATTGAAGGATGGTGTGCAAGTTAAGATAAAGACATGTTTAAGGATCTTGTTAAGAATTGCGACGTGATCTGAATTTTATGATAGTGACCCGTTTGCTATTTTCGAGGTTAAAGATTTCCCTCTTCCTTCTCGTTTGAAAAATTCAATTCATCATTGTATTATTAATTCGGATTTTTCAACATACAATTTATACAATTTTCTCGACTTTCACGCTCTTTCTAATAGTAAATCAGTAGTCCATTACGAATTCACGAAACTAACTTCACGTTGAAACTACTGAATTTCGAGTGGTATTAAGAAACGTATGCAACATCTCTGCACCGCAGTGCATACCTGCATGCCGAATGCAGCGAATTTGAACTGCGACATATTCAAAATTCAAGAAACTGGCCAAAAGATCTTCGCTAACGTTTTCTTCCAAAAACACGAGTCTCCATGAAACATTGAAGGGATTTAAGATCGTTTTCCTAATGTAATATTACACGCATTATTATCCATTATAACATAAATCCAATATTACTCAATTATCAAAAAATTAGATCACGAACGATCAATTTTGATCGGAATAATGATTGGACTTTCTTCAAAAAAAAAAAAAAAGAAGAAATCCCTTCGATCTCTGAAACTCGTAATAAAATTTTATCACAAAATTTTCATTATTTTGACCGACTTTAAACATCGCAATTCCTTTTTACTTTTTTTTAAAGAATTGAAAATATACTTAAATGACACAATAGAATTCCTTTTTATAAATTGAACTTCGAATATAGTTCTTTATTTTTTTTATAAAAGGCGAGACAATTCAATCAACGCAACAAGGTTCCCTTCTATATCGATGATTGATGGATTTCACACACTCGCGTGACATCCATTTTACCAATAATTCCCCTAATGAACGTCCACGGCCGCGCGTTAAACGAACGTGATTTGACGTAACACACTCGTACCGGATGTTCACTTTCGTCTGGGAAAGTAACGAGAGCGACGTTTACATAATTGACCGTGTACTTTATACAGGAAATTAAGCGGCGAGTTCGAAACGTCGTGGGGCTGTTAATTGCGACATGCATGGACCCGCTGTACGCGTTGTATAATTATCGGTTTACACTTGCGGTGAACCAGTGTTCACAACGGCTCTACGGCGTGAAATTTCCTTTTTTTTTCCTTTTTTCCCTTTTTTTTTTTTTTTTTTTTTTTTGCGGCTACCAACTGACGCCTGTTACGCGAATTATAGCTCGGTTTTACGTTAGACGGATCACGACCAACCCGGCCACAATGCAAATTTAACGCGAATCTTCCGGTTCTATTTTTTTTACTGTATCATTTCTGTGATACATTTATTGGTAAATTCTTAATCCATATATATATATATTAATATAATATTTAAATATATAATATAATATTATTATAATATTTAAATATATATATATATATATCTTAAAGAAAGATAATTAGAATTGCGAAATCGAATGAAAATTAATATTCAGTTTTCAGACAAGGTAGCAAAAATCGCGTATTTCCTTTCTCGAGAGAACTTTATTACGATTTCCCATTCGCTTTCGAGGAAACGAGATCGTCTTCTGTTTCCCTTCTCCTATCTTCCTTCCTTCCTTCGAGTTTTTATTGCAATCTTCGAGTTATATATAATACACATTACGACGATATATCACAATTGCAACGTTATTAAAGTGGCAATTCCGATCGTGTCAGAAGTAAGGATATACGAAATGTAAAAATCGTATCAGGAATCGCAAAAGGAGAAGAAGCAACCGTTCCGAGAGAGGACGTAAATTCGCCACGAATAATCGAGTATAACTCTATCGCGCTCCTTCTTGCGCCCACTCCATCCTATACTTATCTATACTCTTGTATCCGCGTAGCACGGTAACCAGATATTGCGGAGAATTAATTACACACGCTCACCAGACCGGTAGTATAGCTATGGTAATACAGACGACTTTAATTAGCGATCTGGTTCTTGTCCGTTCTTTTCAAAGATAGTAAATCACGCGCGGCTCCCCGTTTTACACGTAATAAGAAAATTTCACAATAATGCTCGGCTATCGATCCTTCGCCTATCGTCTGAACGGATCGTAAAGAGCTACGGTGGGAGCGCCCCCTACGGCGCTATCCGTACACAACGCAATAATTCTTCCCACTTTCCGCTCTGGCTCAAGCGTTAAAGAAACTTCGTGGCGAACGAATGCACTTCAACGAGCCTTGAATTCTGTATCGAATTTCAACCCAGGGATATTTCAGCCGTGGCGCACGGTGATTTAATTCGCGCGACCACGAATTTAGAAGATATTCATTGTACAGGTTATCTCGTTTGGCGTTATTAACTCTTAATATAACTCTTGATGCGAATGATGCGAAAGTAAGTTACGTATATCATAAAGATTTCTATAGAGGATTCTATATAGCGTGTGTCATAAAGATTTTCCAAGTAATAAAAGAGAATTTTCTCGAATATTTTTCTTTTGAAGACAAGTGTGCATTTTGGATTTCGTTGCATTTTTCTTTTACGATTTTTCTGTTTCTTGTTATTTATTGAAAGATCCGCCATTTTCTATTAATGTGTTGAGCTATACAGTTTCACATAAATAAAAATAATTCACAAAATAATTTAAAACGATTATTTTTTTAAAGATAATATTCGAAAAGAATAATATAGAATTTTACGATTAATGGTCTATGTATATATATATATGTTTCGATATCTTTTATTCATCCTAATACTCGTTGAAAGGTATCGTATCTTTTTTCCCCTGATGGCAAAAATCTCTTTGATGTCAGTGTTCGTTATATATTCGCTTTGTATTCGAATCCTTTCAAATGTCCCTTATCAGGTGTTATAGGGAAAGTTGATGTTAATCCTGGCTAATAATACGTAGCTCCGTCGCAACAGATATTTCAGTCGGAAGATAAAACCCATATTATTAATATTATTAATACCAATATGACGGTTGAAGTACCGATAAACTTGGAATTTCTTGTATATTGTATATCGAATTAAAAACGAATTATTTATTTACTTTTTTGAATTATCGGTATGATAGGGAATTTTGATTTATAAAATTTCTATCTTTTGTTGTCATACACGTTAATTATAATCCATTACTCGCGATCAATGAATAAAACCAATTCATTTCGATGCCTATCAATCGAATTTCGATTTGAAACGATGTTTCCTTGTTCCATTCTATTTTTCACGGAGACAAGTAAAAGCGAAATCTTATCTAGATCGTATCGCGGACACTTCGATTCTCTTATCGTGTCCACTTGTATCGTTCGATTCCCGTTTTTTTTTTTTTTTTCTTCTTTTTATCGCGGCAGAATTCTACCCGGACACGACGAGCGTGCGCAGCCAGGGCAGCAGAGGCTGATTTATGACTTTTACCTAAGGACGAGTGTGTCCTTCGGGACAGGGGGTATGGCAAAACAAGAAACACGAGCGAGGGTAATAATAGTTTCTTGCAGTTGCACGGCAGTGAACACGGAGAAAGGGTAATCCCGGTGTCACCATAAATTCCAATGATAATAATTACCGCGTCTCTTTACCCCTCTTTTCTCTGCCAACCCTTACGAGCTTACCCTCCGACGCAACCATTGTATAATTTTTGCCTGCGCGAGCCGATGTGTCTCGAAAGAGATATTCGTCCTCTTTGCGATCGTTGCGCCACGACGATGCTTCTGCTGGAGCAAATGATCGATGTAGAGAAAAATAAATGGTTCGAATATTGGAATATTTGACGCGGATGAGGAGATGGAATGGATTCTATTAAAGTGTGATAAGGATAGATTCGATTTGAACTTTGGTACAGACTTGTGAAGTGAACTGAAAGTGATTTAAAGGAAGCTAGGGAATTATAATACGCATAATTTCTAGGAAATTTTAATATTTTTGTCATCACTCTCCTCGAAACATCCAAACTTCTGAATGAAGAAAGTTTTACGAAGTAAATTTCACATTTTCTAATTCTTAATTGTTTCAGAAATTCAATACAAATTGTTAACATATTTGAGGTTAAGTTACGTTAATATATTTGAGGTTAAGTTAAGATGATAGGTTAACGTCTTTACAACTATTTCAAAAATGGAAAATCTAAGTTAATTCTTATGTTGATATGTAGAATAAAATATTTTGAAGCAAATTGTCATTTGAAACATTGTCATTGTCATTGCTGTTATTTCGAATTTCGTTATCTCAGAAGTTCTATCTATCTTATAGAATTTCTCAAAGAACTTTCAGATCGTTTAATTAAGAACAGACTCAAAGGACAAAGGTATTAATATAAAATCATCTAGATCTAAAAATGCTCTCTAGCTGAAATACTCGAAGAAGGGATTAAACGAGGTCGAGAGGGATTGATACCATTTATACTTTACTTTTAACGAGCGTCGTCCGTGTAACGAATAGAAATTTTATTAAAAAACTGAGTGACGAACGAAGGGTCA